AACACGATTATATCATATGAGAGTGATGAGATTATTGTGGTTTAATGGGATGATATCAAAACACTGAGCACATCACCCTGAGGTGTCACACTTAAATCAAACATGGAGCCTAACTGTGCTGCATCTTTCCGCCTCCTCCAGGAAAGAACTCGCAGTTTGCTGAGAGAGTGGTACCTCCAAGACCCGTACCCCAACCCGTCCAGGAAACGGCATCTGGCGCAGGCCACCGGACTCACGCCCACACAGGTCGGAAACTGGTTCAAGAACCGTCGCCAAAGAGACCGAGCAGCATCTGCAAAGAACAGGTACCTCGGAACTGAGAGCAGGTTTATTAATTCAAGAACAGAGACCATGACATGAAAATGACACGTTAAATATGTTTAAACTTCAGAAACTGTTCCAGCTCTTCTCTCCAGGGGTCGACTAAACCAAACAGTTCATATTTACAATCCTGTTCTCACTCTCATCTCTCCGTCCACCCAGATTGCAACAGGATCCGTCCCTCCTTCCTTCTGAAAGCTCCCCCGACGGGTCCCTTCAAGAGCGTCGCCACCACCCCCACCTCCTACCCACCTCCCCTCGCCACCCGGGCAGCCCAGAGGCCAGCGACTGCAGCACGGAGACCGAGCGCAGAGGAACGGGCGCCTCCACTCCGGAGATCTCAGTCAGCAGCGACAGCGAGTTTGAGTCTTGAGATGACGGGACTCCAGGTTCGTGGACAGACTCTTGTTTCCTGCCGGGACAAGAGCAGCGTCCGTCATCAGACGTACGATAGAGACAATCTGTGGACGCGTGGAGACGTTCGCACGGGAAGGTGGACGAGCACGGAGAGCTGCTGAGGCTCAGAGGGAACGATATGCAAAAACATTATGCACTTAAAAAACGCACCATGGCACAAACACTCTGGACTGTTCATAGGTAAACATCTACGTGGTACTTGTACAAGGAACAAGTGTTTTCAACAAGTATTTATAGAAATAACGCCAATGGTCTTTAGATAATGTGAATATTAATACTAAAAGTTTTGATACAGATTCCAGTGAATATTTTTGTAGATCATTTTCTAATAGTTTTAAAGTGAGCGACGTGACACCACTCTGTGAACATTAAATGCCTTGAGTAGGCTACTATTGTACGAGAATATGTTTACATGCATGCGTTTATAATTGGACTATTATCAGAGCAAAGCAAAACCCAGACTGGATATTTTCATGCAGACGATTCACTTCATGAAATGGTGTTTCTTCACGATCCAGCCTCGACGTGCATGTAAACATAGCAAATGAGCAATTCAACACATTTCACCGCCTTAAAGGAACAAAGGGCATCACTCTGTTACAATGCAATCATTCTCGATGACGTCAGACAGCGTTGTCTCGACGTGATTAACGATGTACACATGCTGCTCAAACCACGGAACATTCTCTGTCACCTGCTGCGTTTCAACCGTCCACTTCTGGTTTGGTTGTTTTCTCCGAAGCTGCTCCGGTGACTGTTCTCCTGCAGGAACTGAAGCAGAAAGGACGATGTAAAAAAACAACAGGGGTCTTAACTCAGTGTGCCTATTCCGTTTGAGAGCAGTGAGACCTGTGTCCTCACGTCAGAAGGAAGGCGTGCCGCTGTCTCTCCCGTCACACGTTCATGACAAGACGCATTTTGTAAATGTTTTGTGTAAATAAATGAAACTATTTTTATCCAAATGAACAAAGACTCAGTGTGTTGAACTGCAAAGTGTTAGTGCAGCAGAATTCAAGCTGCAGACTGATCTGGAAGCTTTACTGCCCCCCCCCCCCCTCAATGCTGCCTTCAACAGAAACCTCCAAAATAAAACGAGAGTATTTCTTTTAGTTCCATCAGAAGAAGAAGTGAAATAAGAAGACGACAGAACCTGAGTTGGTCTTCAGCGTCTCGAACTGCAGCGTCATCGCTCTCAGCTGGGACGTGACACCTGGAGCAGCATTAGCATTAGCATCTGCTGTTAGCTGTGTTTCAGACTTCCGGAGGAAACACCTGCAGCTGCTGGCTGTTCAAACATGACGCCACGCGAACACTCACCGGTGTCTGAAGGACTTTCACACGTTTCACAAATCCTCCTTCGAACCTCCCGAGAGACAGAGACACGTTTCTGCTCCTGCGCACGCTCCGGCTAACAACAACAAACATGGCAGCCGGAAGTGACATGTGCCCAGTGGGCGTCAACTTTGGAAGTGACCGTAGATGAATTTCATAATAAATATTTCAATGTGTTTGATTCTGGTTAATTAAGAATCACAGGAAATGAAGTTTGACTGGTTCCTGTTAACGTGTCTGTCCGAACAAAAAGGTTCTTCCACGCAAAACAAAAAATCATCAATCGCAAATACATTTCAGTCAGTTTATATCAAGTAAAACAAGTTTCAATGATCTTATTATAAATAAAGAAGCTTCTTGGAATAAGACAATGGTTTTATCATTGCATTATATCCAAATGAAAGAGACATATTACATATTATACTGTAGAACTATGGTGTAGCTTTAAACCACAACTGGAAATATTCACAATTATTTATTAAAATATATTTTGTTCAGAGTTAATCTTTAATACCTCGACTCAGAATTCATTCATTTTAATTATGAAACGTGGATGTGTCCAGAAAGGCACCAAAGTCTGGTTGAAATGTATTAAACATCATCACTCAGAGAAATCAGTGATCGTCAGTAGAGTTTGAGTCTCTGCCCCCTCTCAGGATAAAGGGCGTCCTCTCTGTCAGAGATCCCGCCCACGCTCAAAGGAGAAGAAGCCTCCTGCTTTACCTGTTGTTGTCACTGTGAGGCTGATGTGAAGGAACCTGGACTTGGTTATTTGAGTGTTGGACTCTTGTCCTGAGGGAGGACAAATACCCAGAGCTTTGTGCAGCACCTGTGTGAGGATGGACAGCCAGGGGAGGAAAGTGTTGGTCTGTGACAATGGCACAGGGGTAAGAGAGCAAATCTCATTCTTATATCATAAATACACTAAAGCATCCGTTCCGTTCTATTCTGGTATATTAGGTCTTGAACTGTATCAGTTGTGTTGACTGTGTCTCTGTGTTAACCCACAGCAGGCGTGTTGGACTTCAGTGGTTTATCTTTAGAAGTGTTGTAAGTGTGTTGAATTCAGTGCAGGGTGTGAATCTTCGTTCATACTAGACCTGATTCCACATGTGTCTGGACTTGTCACACGGCCTGTGTGCACACACACAAAGCCATAAATGGTCGTAACACTTTCAACTGAGCAACAATTGGATGAAAAACAGGAAGAGAGATTTGAGCTGCTGAAACCCCAGAAGTGACTTTTTAATCACTCCTCAGTGGCCTTCAAATGTTGGACATGTCCGACTCTGCAGTCAGGAAACTGCTGCAGCTGATTTTCTGCCTCTGCCTGGAATCTGCTGCATCCCTCCAGGCTAAGGAATGTGTCCACGGTCACTAAGACAAGTCCAGACAGTACGAGGTGCAGTCGTGAGCACAGCAGCAGTCTGCAGGGAGGCCGTGAACCGGCACAGTTATTTACCAGATGCATGAATTATTCTACATGCTTTTAAAGATGTAATGAAATTGCTGTGACCCTCTGCTGAATAATCTGGTAAAAGCTTTATGGTAATTCACTGCAGGTCTGTTTCCTGGATGCAGATTAAACCTGTGAGGGATTAAAACCAAATGGAACTGAATGGAAATCATTCATACAAAAGACTTGACTGTGCAGGATTAACTCAGGGCAACACACACACCCTGTCAGTTTGATGCACATGTAAAACTCCTCCCATGTTTCTCTCTGACTTCCCTCTGCAGTTTGTTAAATGTGGCTTCGCAGGATCCAACTTCCCTGAACACATCTTCCCCGCCATGGTGGGTCGACCAATCCTGCGGTCGAGCACCAAAGTGCGAAACATTGAGATAAAGGTGAGTTGAGATGAACGGGCACCGTGCTCAGGTTGTGAATGCTGAGGTGCAACAAACAGTCACATTCATCAGGCCGCTCTCTGCACATCATCGAATCTGCTGAAACTATGGTTCTGACGTGAGATCAACACACAAGTCACTTGTTTCACCCGTTCTTTACAGATTCACCTCCCATGAGACGATATCTTGAATATTCTAATGAAAGAAAAGCAAACGACTGTGAGAGACGCTCTGTTTATTAAAGGCCTGAGCTCCTCCGGCTCGTCTCACCTCTCAGCTCGTTCGTATTAAAGTGTCTTAGGACGTCCACTTCCTGAGACACAGTTAAGTTCCTCATGTAGCTGAGGCGGAGCAGACTCTTGTACTAGGATGTGATGACAGAGAGTGAGTGCCAAGAGTTGTGCCACCACAAGTAGAAGGGAAACTGGTTTTTACATTTTTTGTTTCCCTCTAATTTTCTAATTTCGAATAATAAATCTTTATCAATACCAACGTCAAGACAAAGGCATCAGTTCACAGGACAATTGTCTTTATTTTTTGTAAAGTACTCGTGTGTA